ATAAACTCCCAGGCAGCAGAGGCTCCTGTGGCTGTGTGGTCTGGGTGACCTCCTCACCCTGGGCTTTGCAGCCCATGCAGGGTCTGAGCTGGTCTCCAGCATCACCTCTGGAGCCAGCATGGGTGAGGGATGGGACTTTGGGGAAATCAGGAAGAGTTGTCCTGGCTTCATCATCACATAGGCAGGAGGATACACCCCCAGAGTTTGGTTGTGTGGTCAATTGAGCAGGAACATCTCGTCTGGAAAGACATCTGAGTCTCATGGACCCATATGGCAGCAATTTTCACCTCTGGATTTGGACATTGCAACTCCAGCCTGCGGCTGTTGGATTGCAGCGAGCAAGAGCAAAGAGCCACAACATTGTTTTGGGTAGCAATGCCTGAACTGGAGTCAAGTTGCTTTTTAACCTTCTTCTTAGCAAAATAAATTGACTGAACTCTCAGGTTCTCACCTCAAGGCTGGTTTTTCTCACCTAAAATTTATTATTGTAGCTATTGTCTGAACTCACTGTTTCTGATAATACTTTTTTTTTTGTAGGTGTGAATACAAGAGCTGGACAAAATGTTCCTGCCAGCACCAGGTAGTGATGTGAAACATGAATCCCTTTGTATTCCACTGGGCAGGGGGGTGTGGGTGGCTCAGCTTGGTGCAGGAAGCTCGTGTTCAGCCAGGTGCCCACCCTGACCTTCCCTCGCCGAGCCCCCCCGTGTCCCACTGAAGTGAGCTGCACTGGCAGGGACACTGCATGTGGGTGGGCTGTCAGTCCCTAGGGATGGCAGACTTTGGGGTGGATAAAGGGTGAGCTGGTCACTGCTTTGCTGGGCTCTGCCTTTGTTTGCAGCTCTTGAGATGTTTGAGGAATGTGGAGTCGGCTCTGGCTGGAGGAGCAGCGCTGCCACGTTTTGTTTACTCTGTTTACCACGTCATGTTGTATGAAATGGTTGAATCCTCATTAGTTTACTAAGAAAACACATTTCCTACAGCCTGGTGACCTGTCCTTGGCTGGAGATATTGTGCTGTTATCCTTTGCATCTCCTACAGATGCTCTCAGCCATTTTTCAACCCATCACTGAAAACCCTTGAACACGAGCCGAGAGTTGCTGTGATCCTTCCCCTGGTTTGTGCATCCTTTTACTCTCTTGCTTGTTCTAGTAAGAGAAATTAAATTGTTGGGCAATGATTTCTGAAACTGTTAAAAAACAGAACAAAACCCCAAGAAAATTCTGGAACAGAATGCTTTTGTTGGCGAGAGTGAAGGTTTGTAAATATTTATTCTTCATGAGGAAAAAATATCAGGCTGTTGTGATAGAAAATACCCAGGCAATTCAAATTTAAAGTGACAGCCACTATGCAGGAATCGGGAGTCTGCAGAAATGTCAGTAGGTCAGGCCCAGTTGCTGTGTTGGCATCAAGCTCCTCCACCATCCAAATCCAGAAGAGTGCTTTCCACCCCGTGTTGCTGTTTGCAAAACAGTCACAAGTGTGTTTGTATCTCTGTGCTCCTCTTGGAGGATTATCCTGCCAACACCCAACCTGTGCTGCAGAGAGCTGCCATCCCAAAACCTGCCTGGGGATCATATTTATGCTGGATATTCTGGAAAATTTCTTCACTGAAAGGGCTGTCAGGCACTAGAACAGGCTGCCCAGGGCAGTGGTGGAATTCCCATTTCTGGAGGGATTTAACAGACATGTGGACATGGCAGTTGGGGGCATGGGGCAGTGCTGGGGGAATAGTCAGACTCTATGGTCTTAAAGGGCTTTTCCAGCCTAAACCATCCTGTGATTCTGCGCCGTTTGGATGCAAGAAGATCTTGAAAACCTTCTTCTGACAGGAAAACCTCTATAGCAACTGCATTCAGAGTGTTCTGTAAGTAGAGTAAGGCATGGAGGAGGCTGTCCTGAGAAGCACAAAACGAGCATGGATGTGGGACATGGGTCATTGGTGGGCCTGGCAGTATTGGGGTAATGGTTGGACTCTATCTTAGAGGGCTTTTCCAACCTTAATGACTCAGTGATTCCAAATATCTCCTGCTAAGGTGTGATGGGAAACCCCAAACTCAGCTGTCCTCTCCCTCTTGCTCTTGGCTCTGCTTTGCCGTGCTTTGAAGCCAGGTGGAAGAGTGATCCCAAAATACCTTCCCTGACTCCTGCCGAGGATCCAAGGATTTAATGGGTTTTGCTGAATGACCTGGTGCTCTCTAGACCTCCCTGGTGCAGATGACTGGCATTAAGGGGTAGATTTCCTGAGTGGCTCTGCCTGGACAGACCCCCTGGAAGCAGCATGAGGCTTCCAGAATGTGTTGACTGCCTGAAAAGTCTGCTGGGGACTTGGCTTTGTAGGAGATTTGCTTCCTGCAATGGAATGAGGCTCCTATTGCATGCTGGAGTTCTGCAAAGCCAGGGCTGTAAGCTGGAAGTTGTGCACAGGAAGTTTTTTCCAAAGAAAATGAAATAAATTGAAACCGTGGGGAAGAAACTGAAGGCATGACAAGGCCTTTGTTCTGCTTTGTATTCTTGCCTAGGAATGCTCTGCTCAGCTGTGCATTAATCTCTGGTTTACTGCGCAGCCTTGGTGCTCACACACCAAACCTCAAAGGGGGTGTGTGTGCACAGGTATTCATGGAGGTCACTCCACCCTGGAGCTGCAGGGCGCCAGGCCCTTTTTGTGAGCGATAATTCATTGCTGCTGCGGCGCCTTGATTTCCCTGTCAGAGCGGGACGTGCCGTGCCTGGGCAGCGGGAAGGAAAACTGGGAGCTGAACCCAGCAACAGCCCCTGCAGCCAGAGCAGCCGGGATGAAACAGCTCCAGCGAGGAGCAGTGACAGCCACCAGGAGCCCGGCGCCTCCTTAGCGGTGACCTTGGTGATCCCGAGCCAAAGGTTGGGCACAGGCAGATCCTCTCAAACATCAGATCCTCTCCAGCAGCTGAGAATTGGGTGTGGGGCTGCTGGAGAACTCTGCTGCAGTTTTGGGTTGGGGATGTGATGAGCATTAGCAAGCTGCCTTCTTTCCTCTCTGCCTCCTTTCAGAGCTGCAGTGTTTGGCAGGAATTAATGGATCTGGAAAGGGACGCTGTGGTTGCAGACTCGGGTCAGGTAGCAGCAGGCCTGGAGGTGACAGGGTGGCTGTGCCAGCTGTTTGACAGTCCTGCCCGACATCCTGCAATTAGAGTTTTGCAGAGCACATCCCTGTGCCCCGAGCTGTGATATTTCCAAATTTCAGGCCCTGCTATTTGGTCCTGTGTGTGAGCTCCACATCATGGAAATGGACACCTAATGAGCCCTAGGTGATTAACCCACCATGCTGGCGGGTTCATTTTCCACCATGGCCCCTCCATCTCTGCTGCTCTGCTGTCTTTCCTCGCATCCCTGACTTCTGCAGGATTGGGAAGAGCAGGGAATTTTTATCCTCTCCCATGCAGTTAATTAGGAAGCATTCCAGTTTGTGCCGTTTGGTGGGGAGCATATCCAGGCTGTTCAGCAATGCTAGGAGAGAACAGACCCTGCAGGGAAAGCAGGAATTCCTGACACCACTCCCTGATTTGGGATGAGCCCAAATTCACCATACTCTAATCCTTCAGTCTCAAGATTGCAGGCCCTCCTGTGATCATTGGCACCAGTGAACAGAAAAGCAAAAATCATTTGAGAGTGGAGGTGTTGGTCTGTCTGTGGGCTGGCATTGCTGGCTGTGTGTTCCATCAAGGACTCGGGGCAGGATGGAGGATGCTGGGTTCAGGGGGAAACAAATTCCTCACCAACTCTGAGCAGTGTCTACACAGCAGGGCAGCAGCAGCTCTTGCTGGGAGCTGTGGGGAAACAGATCAGTTGGGTATGGCAGAGAGCAGACTTGTCCTTTGGGATCAGGGGAGCTCTGTGGTGGGATTGGGCTGTGCCCTGGAGCTCTGGGAGAAGCTCCCACACCTGGTCCAATCATGCTCCTTAGAGAATCACAGAATCCTTTAGGCTGGAGAAACCTTCTCAGGTCATTGAGTCCAACCATTAACCTAGCAGTGCCAAGGCCACCACTGACCCGTGTCCCCAGATGCCACACCCCCATGTCTGTGAAATCCCTCCAGGGGTGGGGACTCCACCACTGCTTTGGCTGCCTGTAGCAGAGCTTGACAACCCTTTCTGTGAAGAAATTTTCCAGAATATCCAACCTAAACCTCTGCTAGCACAATTTGAGGCCATTTCCTCTTATCCTGTTTGTTGTTATTTGGGAGAAGAGGCTGACTCTCAGCTGGCTACAACCTCCTTTTAGGTAGTTCTGGAGAGCATTATTCTGTGTTTTCTCACCAGCAGCTGCTGGGGCTTCACAAATGGGAAAGGGGGGTGGTCCCTGTGCTTCAGGGGCAGGATAATCTGTTTATGCTTGATTGACACTGGGAAAGCATCACTGAACCCTTCTGGAGGGGTGGTGGCTCATTAGGATTCAGGCTCAGTTGCTTTTCATCCTCTGTAAAATGCAGCACCTGGCAGGATCACTCACCTTGACCCTTGGTGACAGAAAGAGATGGCCACCAGCTCTCAGTCACCAGCACGGCGTGTCACTGGGAATGACAAACTGGGGGGAAGGAGCACGGGGTGGGGAGAGGGGGATGGCACAGGGAGAAGAAATATCTGACTTGGCTGAGCTCAGGGAAAGCTGAAAGAGCAGCTGCTGTTGCATGAATAATTACTGTTGTCCATCCTCCTCTGGACAGGCAGACAAGAGACTCCTGCCCACCACAGCAGTGGGGATGTGCTGCCTGGGGGCCAGGAGCTGTGGACATGGAGTGGTGTGGGGCCAGGCTGGAACATTTGGGATACAAATGCCTGGTTGGGACAGAGCAGTGGGTCACCTAGCCCAGGTCCCTGCCTCCAGCAGCAGCTCTGTAAAGAGAACACGCAGGAATGATCCCTCCTTACCATTCATTCCAGTTGTGCCCAGAATCCCCAGTCACTGGAAGGGGGTAGTACAAGGTATCTGTCTTGTCTCTTTAATCTGTTTTTTAATCTCCAGCCCATGAATCTGTATAATCCCATTTTGCTGCCTGCTGGCCCTGTGCTTTGATGCTGATTTCCCATTCCCCACATGCCAGCTGAATTTGGTGTTGTGCCATCACCTACAAGGGTTTGGAAGCCTCCCTCTCCCAACCTTCCCTGATAAGGGAGATTGGGAACGTTGAAAAGTGTTGTAAGGTGGTCCCCACCATTTCATCATCACCTGCATCTTTGTGACAGGTCACGAGCTTCAGCTTCCTTCAGCTCAAACTGGGATGGCCATAACCTGGCACCTGGAGGGAGCAGCTCAGTGTGGTGCTCTGCCAGGTCCCTGTGTGTGGGAACATCTCCTCTCTGTCCTGCTCTGTTCCCATCTCTTACAAGATGAAACTCTTTGGCTGAGGCAAGGGCTGAGCTCCTGGAAATGAGAATTTGTTCTTGCTGACATGACTTGTGATCTTTGCTTCTGCCTGAATTAAGGGTGACCCCCTGACTCTGGGTGTGCTGCTCCCACCCAGGACTCAGTGGCTCTTCCAAGCTGGAGCTCCAGGCAGAGGGATGAGAGATGGTGTCTGCTGTTAATCTGTGCTGATAGGTAAGCTCTGAGTGGGTCACTCTCCTCTGGGTAGCCACTTCTTAACAGTCATTGACCTTTATTTGGTTTGCCTTATTTACTCAGGTGGTGAATTTAGGTCACATTGAGGTGGCTTCTGTTAAACTGAGCAATGGCCACTTAAATCTGGAGTGACTGTGTCCACACAGAGGTTAATGCAGTTTAATCCAATCTCTTTAAACCTGCCCTTGCTGTTGTGAGGAGGGATTTCCATCAACATCCCTGCTCAGGTCTGTCCCTTGATGAGGCAGAGGAGGAGCAGGCTGCTCCCAGTGGGCAGTGCTTGGAGAGGGAACTCAGCCCTGCTGTTCCTCTTTGCCCATAGAAGGAGTCCTGGTTCTTGCCAGGGTGGATCTCTGTTTGTATGTTGATTTAGAATTCCAGCGGAAGGAAAATGAATAATGCTTATTGCTGTCCTCAGACTCCCTTTAGTTCTGTTTTTACAGCTCTTGACATCAGCACAGGACAGAAGAACGAGGTTCCCAAGAGGAGCAGAGTTAACTAATGAAGTAAGAAACTTCCTGATCATTGGCAGGTGCTGGAGGGTTGTGCTAACATTGCAACTTCATCAATCTTGGGCTGAGTAGTAAGAAATTATCAAAACAGGAATGGCAGAACATGCTCCTCTGGGACCTGGAGATGGTCCAGCTGCAGCAGCTCTGACCATGACAATTTGGTACAACTGAAGCAGGGATTTTCTGGATTGTTCTCTTGCTTGGGATGGTTGGAGCTTCTGTCTAGGGCCACTCCTCTTCTGCACCATCAAGATCTTTGCAATTGGTGGGGAATGTATTAACTACCAGGAAAAAATTAATTCTATCCCAGTGAAAGCAGAATGTCAGGGCTCCTTCTGTGCTTCAGCCCAGAGGATACCCCTCCCTCCCCGCCATCTCCCAGGGTGTTGGATGTCTAAAGACTGCAAAGTGTTAACACACTCCAGCACGGCTGGATGGAGAACTGCTCTCCATGTAGATCCCACTTGAGACCCTTCCTAAGCCTGCAGCAAAGGCTTGGTATGAAACTCTGGACAAACCACGTGCTCTCGGTCTCTGAATACCCCCCTGGCAGTAGGACTGCACCCATCACCTTGAAATAGCATCCACCACCCCTTCCCACTCCCTGTGCACTGTTCAAAACCCTGGGGCCCCTCTGTAATGCCAGGTAGGATCAGCAGTGGATTTGCCATGAGATCAATCAGCCAGGATCAGTTGGATGCTCTGCCAGCAGCTGTCCCAGTGCTTAGCATCACTGGCAGGATCTAATATTAATTAGCTGTGTGGGGAGGATCAGCTGCCCTGCAGAGCTCAGCCCATTTACACTCTTATTTCACGGAGTCACAGAATGTCCTGAGCAGGAAGGGACCCACAGGGATCATCAATCCAGCTCCTGGCTTTGCCCAGGACACCCCAACAATCCCACCCTGGGTCTGAGAGCACTGTCCAAGCACTCCTGGAGCTCTGGCAGCCTTGGGGCTGTGCCCATTCCCTGGGGAGCCTGGGCAGTGCCCCACAACCTCTGGGGGGGAAGAAAATTTTCTTGATATCCAGTCTAACCCTCACCTGTCACAGCTGCAGCTGTTTCCTGGCGTCCTGTCCCTGGTCAGCAGAAGGAAGGGAAGCTGCAAGGTTGATGTTGTCCCATCCATCCAGCTTGGTCACCCTGAGCCCAGCTGGGACAGAGGCTCTGGTCTGGCCCTGGCGAAGGCTCAGGCTGTCAAGAGCTGCTTTGGGTGGCTCTGTCAACTTTTGTCCTTGAATTTGATCACTTTGAGTGTCTTCTCTCTGAGGAAATGCAATTTTAACTCCTGTAGTCTATGGGTAGAAGGGAAGAGAAGGAAGGGGAGGAAAACTGGAGTTGTGTGGTGGCTGAGATCAGCAGGAAGTCACAGCTGTCCCCCAGACTTGTAATACAGAAACTTCCCTCAAACTGAGCACTTAATGTGCAAGGAAAGAGGTGACTGATAACAGAGATTACCCTAATGAATAAACAAATGTTTTAAAAGACCAACTCCTCATGCAATGCGTTATTTTTAACTTAGTGGCAATTTGCATGTGAGTCAATTTGCATACATTAAATACATCTCCCCTTCTGCACCAAGCTCCCCCTCCCCTTCAGTACAGCATCTCATTATGGGGCTGCTGGGACTGGTGGCTCTGGAGGGGACATTAATTTGCCCAGTGCGTGCTGTGTAGGTTTTTATCACTTGCTGCACATTGGACCCGGTGTCTTTGAAGTCACCAGTGCCTCGGAGGGCCTTCTGCTTGAGGTGGTTGAAATGGAAAAAGAAAGGAAGGGGAGGGGGAACCACCAGGGGAAGAAAGGAGATTGTTCAGCTGCTGTTAACTTGACAGAAAATGAGCAATGCAGAAACCTCTTCCCTCTGCCAGAGAGCCTGGGTGTTGTGAGTGGGGGTTGTTTGGTTTGCTGCTTGTTGGAGATGAAATTTGCCATCTTCCTGGGAGCCACAGAGAAGGAAGAATGGGCCAGTGAGAGCCCCAAGAGGAAGCCATGGGGTGGAGGCACAGATGGTCTCACCAGGTTTGTGTTGTTGTGGCTTTGGGGGGGATGTGGAAGTTTGTGTGTGGTAGGACACCCCTGCCATGGTTTGGTACGTGGGGATCCCCACAGGGGCTCGGGAGGTGGCAGATCTCTGCCTCCAGAAGGGTTTGGGCTGGATATTAAGTAAAAGAAAGAGCAGTCAGGCACTGGAACAAGGTCCCCAGGGAGGTGGTGGAGCCACCATTCCTGGAAGCATTTGAAAAATGAGATGTGGCACTTTGTGATGTGGCTTAGTGGACAAAGAATTCAGTCAAAGGTTGGACTTGATGGTCTTGTCTTTTCCAACCTGAATGATTCAATGATTCCATGCTGTGGGAGCTGCTGCCACCCCATGCCTCAGTTTCCCCATGAAACAGAGGATTAATGATGCCAACTGCTCTTAGAAGACTTCAGGGCACGCTCGGAGCATGTGGTGATGGAGAACTGGTGGAGGAACTATTCTCCATGACCTGGATGTCTGTTTGAGGAGTGTTCTGATGAAAACACACAGATGTCATGACATCCTTGTGTCTTTGATAGACAGAGAACTCACTTTGCTGCCCTAAGATCAGCTCACAGGATTTTGAAATGCTGCTGATGCAGTGGAAAAAGCTTTTGCTGTTGTACATCAGAGCCCAGGGGGGTTTCTCACAGTTCCAAGTACTGACCAGAAACCCTGGAAATGTTTTGAGGAAGGAATGAAAAAGAAAATTTCTTTCAATTAGTTCAGCATTTTCCAGCCAGTTCTGGTTGCAATCAAGAACATTGTACTGATCTTGAGTGTTTCTTTGAAAGAGCCTTACAAAAATCATCCAGGAAAATGAATAAAGGGAGGAACCCAAATCTAATCTAGAATGATAGGCTGCAGAAGACTTATCCTCACCAAGTAACAAGGTCCCTTCTCTCTTCCCATGTAACAGGAGTCTTAGCCAAAGCTCCTGCCATGTGGCAATTCAGGAATAAATGTCAGCAGCTCCTCCATGCAAGGAATATTTGGATGTCAGCAGCAAGAGGCAATGTTTCTAATAAACTGATGCAAATGGGGTGCTGGGATCAGTGCTGGGGAGCTCTGATTTCATGCAATTTCCATGCTTTGAGGGTACCCAACCTCTGCAGAGCAAAGGGTCTTGGGCAGGTAATGGGTAGCCCGTAGCCCACCTCATCCTCCTTGGGAAACCCTTCAGGGAATCACTGGTTTTGGTCCACACAAACACCAGCCAAGGGAATGAAGAGCATGGAATGTGGGTTTTGTTAATTAGAGAGGGTGGGGAAATCCATCTCCTGCTGCAGCAGCCTTTGTGTTGTGTGTGCAGCAAAGGAGAGCTCCTGCCCTTCTGAGTGTGGGGCAGGAGGGGTGACAAAGGTGAGTGAAACATCTCACCTTGGATAACGAGCATGGCTGGCCAGGAATGAAAAACACTTGGAGGAGGGTTTATTCTATTCAAGCTGGCCACTGTGAGTCCAGTGCAGCTTGTTTCCAGGTCCCTTGGGCAAAAGGAAAGCATCAAACCGAAGGAGAGGCGCCTGTGGAAAGGCTGATCTCTGCCTGGAGCTGTGCAAGGCAACTGCTCCCAACCTGGGCTGTGTTCCAGTGGGGCCTGATGGAGTGGATGGATGCAGGGTTGGAAGGGTGTGGTCAGAGGTGTTTTTTGGGTGTGTTGTGATGCAGGGTTGGAAGGGTGTGGTCAGAGGTGTTCTTTTGGGTATGTTGTGATGCAGGGTTGGAAGGGTGTGGTCAGAGGTGTTCTTTCAGGTATGTTGTGATGGATTCTGGGCCACCTCCCTGTCTCCAGAGTGTCCCATTGCCTGTCAGGCGGTGCCTGGATGTCTCCACAGAGGGAAGCCACCTCCAGCCCCCATAGATCTTGGTGAGCAGCCTGGGCTTGTGCCCCTTGGTCGGAAGCAGCTCACCCTGCCCTCCTGAGCGCTGTTTGCAGAGGGCACAGCACAAAACGTGTCCCCCGGAGGCTGCCCTGCCATACAGGATGTCATAAGAGCTGCCAAATGAAGTATCCAGCCCCGCTCCCTCCTGGCTGGCCCCAGTGCCGGGATTGTTTCCACGGCAAGAGAACAATACCTCTCCTTCCATCCAAGAAACATTTATTACATGATCCGTTTCAGATGTCTCTTTGGGGAGGAGGGGAAAGTGGAGGAGAAATAGATCTCTTTTTTACGGCAGCACGGCAGGATCCATCCCGTAATGGATTAATTATCCCCGCGCACAGGCGGGCTGGGGGGATGTTCGGAGCAAGCGCCAGGGTTGCCTTCCAAGAGGAGCAGACGTGGATATTTCGAGCCTCCCTTTTCACAAACTAAAAGGGGTAATTAATTAATCTGGAAGCTTTCACGTTCATTATAATTCCTTTCCTCTCCTCGTTTTGTTTCTCTCCTTCGATTGTACGAAACATGGAGAAAGGTAAAGAGTTTAGGGGCTTATTATGCTGCTCCTTCCCGAGCCCCTGTCAATCTCCCTGCTTGCTTTCATACCTCTGCCTCCTTTTCTCTCCCTTTGAAGCCCTCAGAGGTCAGAAACATTTCCTGGTTTTCCTTTGCATGCCCTGAAGGAAATGGTCTGGGCAGGATTATCTGCAGGTATAAACCAGGACTGATGCACAGGCTCTGTCAGCAGAGTATTCCACGCTTCTGGAAACCCCTTCCATCCATCTTGTGGGCCAGGGAGGAGAACCATCCCTTGGGCCTGCTCCTCCTCAGCTGGGGGGGAAGGCACAGGATTAATGCTGACAATACAAGCACTACCTAGGTAAAGACAGAGGCTCCAAAGCCCAGGAGGTAAATGCTGTCACGATGCCATTTCCCTGTCCTTTCATGTTTTTTATTTCCACCCAGCCAAGCTGCAACTCGAGCAAGAAGCATAAATTCTGCTGTCCCTCGACTCCATCTGCTCACGGAGCTAAAGAGATATAAAGGATGTGGCCAGAGTGAGCCAGTCCATTATGGAGTGTTCTGGAGAGGCTAAGGCAGAGATGGAGCCAAGGATTAGAGGACATCCAGGAGCAATTGCAGCCCCTTTGAACTAAGCATGACTTCTGCAAGACACCTAACGAAAACTAACTTCCCAGGGATGGAGAATTGGAAAAATCTCATTTCAGACTGTAGATCCCAATTATTGTAGCTCTGTGAGGCCAGACATGGGCTGGTGGGAGGCGTTTTCACATCTCCCAGGAGGTGAGGAGCCCTCGGCCGAAGGTCTGGGTGCTTGCAGGAGGAATGGTTCTGTTCCATGTCTGGCTGACAACCCAGCTTTCTATAGGAAAGCTTCTGGACAGCCCAGCCTAGAGAAACTCTGTGGTTCTTGCAGCAAGGTTGCTGGTGCTTTGTCTCCCCTCAAGGTAAGAAGGAACATGGATTTGCATCCAAAAGCGAGCCCTGGCCATGGAGCTCTGAACAAAAACCCCAGTGCATCATCTCATCCTTCCCCTTACCCAGTGCTGTGAACATCTGACATGGCTGATAGGAAGGTTAAAAAAACCAGCACAACCCCCAAAAACGCCCTTCCAAAGGCACCACCTGCTGCCCTTTTTTGGTTTTTCTGGGTGCCAAGTGTCCCAGTGGTAAGGGACAGAGTTCCTGGTGTCTCTGAAAGCCTATTTGATTCTCTTTGTCTGCCTGCCTGGTGTACTCATGTGTCATTTGCTGCTCTTGGCAGTGAGTGGGAGTTTGTGGAATGAGAATATGAAACTCCTCTCTCTTCCACAGTGGTACACAGATGAGAAGGATGGGTTGTCCTGGCTGCATCCCTCCGAGTGGCAGAATAAATAATTGGGATATGAAGAGCTGCTGTCCAATTCAATGTCGTGTTCAGAGGCTCCTGGTTGACTGGAGAGCAGGAGAAGCTGTTCCAGTAATGGGTTGTCTGTTGTTCCTCTGCCCAAAACCAGGTTTAATGAAGCATTTGTTCTTTTACTGCCCTCTCCTTAACTGGGTTTTTAGAGCTTTCCCTCAGAGCTGGGTGACAAAAGCAAAATTGTGTCCTGATGTGTTTGTTTGAATTCTTAAGTGAATTTGCTTGGGCGATATTCCCAACCTTTCCCTGGTGACTTTCCAAGAACATTCAAGCAATGAGATTTTTGCTGGCAGAAAACAAAACAAAAAGCAAATTTCAAAGTCACATTTGCAGGTTTTTTAGCACTTTTGATACCTGCAGTGCTAAAATATCCTGACATGGTCTTAAAACAGATTGGTGAAGATTTTGATGAATAATGAATTGTGATTTCTTTTTATTTGCCTTCTGGTTCTGGTTGAACTCTTCAAGCTCTTGAGTTATTCTTTGTAATCATGAAACCTGGAAACTGATTTTCCCTAGGTCTGAAATGATGAGTCTTTGTAGCTGAGTTTGCTGAAATGCAGATGTTTGTTCCTCAGCATTTCTTCAGGTGTTGGTTCTGGTCCAGTTTGGACCAAAATTGGATGTAATTATTATTTCCCCCCAAATCTTGCTATAAACAGGCAATCTTGGAACTAAACCTTAGCCAAGGTATGATGTTACATCCCTCCAACTCTGTGTAACCTTCATTTCTGTTAACTTGATCTGTACTTGCACAGGCTCTCCCAGGATCACAGACTGCAGATTTGGGTGGGAAGGGACTCGGGAAATCTTTGGTCCAGCATCTTGCACCAGAGTTTGTTTGGGCATCAGAGCAGGGTTTGAAAGCCTCCAAGGATGGAGACTGCCCAGGCTCTCTGGGGAACCTGTAGCACGTTTGCCCATCTGCTGTAATACCCAGTGCTTGTATCTGCTTCTTTCAGTTTGGGCCTGTTGTTTCCATCTCCCTCTTCCTGGAAAACACCAGGCTCCAGCTTCTTGCTAACTCCAGGTAGGAGTTAGACTGTGAAGTGTCCCTAAGCCCAGCTCCCTTGGCCTCCATTTGGGGCAAAAAAACGCCTGGGACACACTTTTCTCTGGATCCCTTACATTGCCATGCTTGTCACAGAGCTCCCACAGCCCAAAGAAGTCAGCCAAGCCCCAATTTCCCAGTTTTCAGCTGGAGATGTGGAGCTGACAGGTGACTGACACCAGTGCAGGGCTGGAGCCTGGCAGAACGACCCGCAGGGATTTCTGAGAGCTGGATTTGCCAGGCAACCTTTCCTCAGCTGCTGCAAGTCATTTGATTGTGGGGTGTTTCTGATGAAATGTGTCTGCTTCAATGGGTTATTGCTTCCCAGGAAAACTCAATTTCATTGGGAGACAACTGACCAGCTCCTTTTCTAATAAGCACCACCAAATCATCTGGTGTTATCAGCAACAGAATGAGAGCTGGCAAAAAAATTTAATTTGAAATGCAGAAATAACTAATATTGGGGGAAAACCTAACTTTTCTGCTCCACTGGGGACTAGTGCAGTGCCAGGGGATTCACTAAACAGCACAGTTCATATTTTAAATATTTGCTAAGTGAATGTAGAGGCAATTGTTTGGGGAAGTATTTGTCAAATAAGCTCAAACAACAAATGCATTTGAGGAAATTGGATTTGTCCACCTGATATTGTAGGAACAGGAGAAGAGGTTAAATTCATCAGATAAACTGTTCAGCTGAACTGTTTGTTCTCCTCTATCCACCCTCCAATCATTATTTTAGAGAGACTACAACTGTTGTAGGCACTGTGCAGAAAATTTATAGGAAACAGATCTCTGGCTGCTGAGGCTCAGAGCCTTCATGATGGACGTGGCAGATAGGGGCAGATTTAGCATCCAGCACTCTGGGGAAGGAGGAGAGCCCATCTCTGTGCCCAGAGTGGTGAATTCTCTCCCTGCACCCATACCAGCCACTCATGAGATTTGTTTTGTTTCATCCAGCTGCAATATGGGGGTGGGAGCTGCCCCTGTGATCATCAACCTTCAGCTGGTTCCATCCTCAGCCACAAAACAGCAGCTGGGAAGGCAGGTCAGGACTTCTGGGGTGTGAGCACAGACTGGAAACACGGGGCACCAGTAGTTGGTACAAACTCAATCTCCTGGCTCCCTCCCAGCACTTGAAATGAGGAGGCAATTGCTCCAGGGCCTCCCAGCCGTGGTGATTTATGGCTGAGGGGGAAATGGGTTCTGAGCAGGTGCTGCCCATCTCCATCAGTTATATATGGCAAACCCTTGGCCAGGTGCTTAAAGCAGGATGGGGAGATGTGGCTCACTTTATTTTGCAGGCAGGGACTGTAGAAATCAATTTTATAGCCGCCCTGGCCTCTAGGAATGCTGAGCTCAGAGGGCAGGAAGGGGCTCCTCAGGGTTAACTGCTGGGATTTGAGGATGTGAGCAGAGCACAGGGGGTGGACACAGTCCCTGCAGCACTCTGGAGTAGTTGTTGAGGGAAGGAAGAAGGAAAAGAAGAAGGAATTTGATTTCCAGGAGAGCAAATTCAGGAAGTCACTCAAAGATAAATTCAGAAAAGCAAATGGTGCGAAGCTGCTGTTGTTGGAGCTCAGACTAGTTCCCAAATGGCTTGGGAAGCTGAGATCAAGGCAGGAGGTGACTGTAGTTTGGAGATGCAAGATGTAAGGTCAGGAGCCAAATCTCTGAGCTGCAGAAAAATGAAGCTGTTTTTTAGGCTTGGAGAAAGGTGGAGAAGTGATGGCAGCGAGAGCAGAAGGAGCTCAGCTGCAGGGGAGGCAGCACAGTAGGTAGGGCAAGAGAATTGTTCCCTTTGGAGGGGTCTCAACTGAGCTGCCAAGGTCTGCCTGGGTAATCTTTGTTCTCTGAGACCTGTATCTCTAATGTGGGTTTTCTTTGTTTTTCCTGTGCACACAAAATTTTTCTCTGGGGTTGTCAACCAAGTGTCTTCCAGGCCTGGAAAAATTAATGCTTTTAAACCATCTCATACTTTCACAGTGGAAATAAGCCTGGCAAAGAAATATCTGGAGAAAATCCAAAATGCTAAGAGTGGGTTAAAAGTGCAGGTCTCCCCTTTGTTTTTGTTCATTGGGTCTCTTGGTATTTGGCTTTCACCTGGATTTAACTGGATGAACTGGAGTGTGCTCACCTTAGGGGGTGGTGAACACCATGGGATGGACTCCCATGGGACACCACAGCCCTGGGTGTTTCTCTCCATGGCCTGTGTGCTGCTCTTGATCTGTGTCCCACGTTTTTATCTTGGTTTTCAGACTTGTTGCAGCTTTCCCAAGGTGATTCCAAGCTCCCAGCTCCCGGTGTATGTGGGGTGCTGAGGGCCAGCTCATCTATCTGCAGGCTCCCCTGGGACACTTCCTCAGACTAAACCTGACCTGGAATGCCCTGGGCTGTGCCTGGCTGACCTCACTCATTGTTCCTCTTCTGGGTGTGTGCTAAAATCCCTGGCAATGCTCTCTGCCCTGGAGCAGTGGGGGCTGCAAGGGATAGAATATTCCAGTTGGAAGGGACCGATGATGTTCATCCTGTCCAACCTCCTGCCCACTTCAGGGCTGACCAAAAGTTACAGCCAGGCTGGACAGCCCTTGGAACAACCTGGTCTAGGGGAAAGTGTCCCTCTCATGGCAGGGAGTGGAACAAGATGACTTTTAAGGTCCCTTAACCCAAACCTTCCTCGGATTGTGTCAAGGGTATTGGCCAAACGTCTCTTAAACATTGAGAGATTAACTACCCTGTTCCAGTGTTTGAACACATTTTTGATAAAAAAATGCTTCCTGATGTCCAATCTAAACCTTCCCTGGTGCAGCTTTGAACCATTCCCACTCACCCCTCTGCTGGATACCAGAGAGAAAAGCCTGAGGGAGTAATTGCTTTGTTTGTGGGTGATGCCTGCATTTAGTTTTACCCCCCGAGTTTTATCCCTTGCCTGTCTTCCTGAGGGGCAGAGCAATCTGCCTGTGCCACCGTGGAGCTGCCATTGGCATTTCCAGAAAACCACAACTTTTGGAAATCCCTGGGTGGGGGTTTGTGCCAGGAGCTGGTTTGCTTTAGCAGCTGGCAGTGGGATTCACAGAAGGATCCTCTTGGAGTGGGAAGTGCTTGAATGCAGGACTCTGCCTCCTGGCTGCTTGAGCTTGGCCATGGCAGAGCACTGGGGTGGTGGTGGGCAGGGTTGGGAATGGCTTTGTGTGGGGATGGGCACACAGGCTCCTGGTCAGTGGTGGGCTGTGCTCAGAAGTTCTGTGGGATCAGGATTTGGCTCTGTTAGGAGAGTAGGAAGGATTTACTTCCCTCACTCTGAAAATTCAGGTTAGTGGGCTTGGCTGTCTTCTCTCTGTGTTCAGCTTCAGTGGAGGGATTAAATTTCCAAGGAACTGAACTCTCAGAATTAGAAGCTGAGTCTTGGATTTGGTTAAAAAAAATTTGACCAGAAACCTCAAGCATGGATTTCTTGTTCCCCAGGTTCCCATTGTCATTCCATGAGGGGCACCCCAAGAGGTGCAAGTACCCCAGCTTTACCCCCTGGGCTTTCCATAGGGGCAGGAGGGACTCCCAGGGGGGAAATCCTCCCTGGGCAGTCGCTGGGATCCAAACCAAGCCCACCTGTTGGGGCTCTGTGCTGCAGTGATGCAGAGCAGATGTGTGTTTGGGCAGGTGTGGGGTGGGATGGCTGCCAGCCCGGCTGCACGTGTTCCCAGGATGGAGAGACCCTCCAAAGATAAGTCTGCAGTTCCGATGAGGGGATATTGAGTTTCGTGCTGCAGGGCAAACGCTGTCCGCTTTGCAATGCAGCTGCTGTGAAGTCATGTCCTTATTGCAGGCAACTCTGGAAAAAGGCAGATCCGGCCTTTTTCTCCGCAGTAACATACTGATTTACCTGTTTTCATTCTGGGGCTGGCAGCCTGGATTAGGAACTTTGTCTGGGTGACATGTCAGCTGATGGCAAGTATCCTTTGTGCTGGCAAGTTTTCCATATCCAATTTCTGTTCTCCATTTCTACCTTCAATTCCTCTCTGTCACTGTTGGTGGAGGTGTGCTCTGCAGCAGTCTCTGAGAAGGTTTGGTTGTCCTCCTTGCCCTGTGTGTTTTGCTCCCTCTCCAGGCTTATCTGAAAGGAAACCCCTCAACATGTCTAACTCTGCACCCAGAGGCCCAGATCTGGTGCTCGGAAAGTCCCCCTGGTGCCCAGGCAGCCACGTCCAAGGTGTGACTTACCCTAAGCTGTCACTTCCCCCGTGTAGCAGGGCCACTCTCCCCATACAGGGGTGACAGAGGGTCTCACCTGCATGGCCTCATGTGACCTGCTCAAATTTTTGGCTGTTTAACTTGCTCTTGTGCAAAACAGTCTTTGCAGTATTCTCCTGAGCACAGGAGGAGGTCAGGAGCTGATCTGCAGGAGCACAATTCACATCCCCAGTGTGCAAATTCCCCTCGGGTCTGCTGATGGCTTGGGGTTGAAGCCAAGAGATGAGGGAGGAGGATGGAGCCTGGTCTGTGTGCTGGCAGCATCTCCTTTGACACCTGCACTGAAATCCCAGGCCAGCTGTCTCGCACCACTTTAGTCCCTGGCCCAGCTCTCTCAGAAGCAGCACTAATCAGCCTGTAAATGCTGGGACATTAGGAGAATTATCTCCATGTTTTACAGCTCTGCTGTGAGGGTGCTGGTGCACAGCAGCTGCTGGGCTCTGGGAAGGACTCGGGAGCTGGGAACTCCCCTTGGCCTGGGTCACATCCTCGGGTCTGCCCCAGGTTCCTGCCTGCTGCCAGGGCAGGGATACCGAGTGCTCTCCAAGCCCAGATTGGTGTGTACAGCCAGATCCAGTAGCCACAAATGAGCGTGGGGGCTGCCTGTTGGAATAAAAGGGCAGGGAAATTACCTTGCAGGAGCAGGCTGGTGAAGCAGCTGGTTCCCCACATCCCTGAGGACACAGAGCCATTTGTGGAGTGGCCCTGCTGCTCTCTCTGTACACATACTGCACATTGCTGATTTATTTAGAACTCATTTTGTACTAAAAAAGTCAAGAACAAAAAAGAGCCACTTGAATACAGGAAAGCCAACCCTCCCTGGACTTGCAAGTGACACACTGAAGCTTCTGGAAATGTGTGTTTGATGGTAATCATAGGATAGCTGGGGTGGAAAGGGACCTTAAAGAGCATCTCCTTTCAACTCTCCTGCAGGGATAGGGTTGGATGGGGATGGGTAGGGGCAACTTTCATTAGATGAGGTTGCTCAAAGTCCCATCCTGGCCTTGAATCCTTCCCCTTGTACTGTCAGGTTTTTTCCACAAGTGTTTTCTCCCCATTTCACTGTGTAAACAAAGTCAGGGTTGATTTTTCTGCAGTTGCCACCCTCAGCAGTGGCTGGGACCTGATCTAAGAGCCTCTGCTGCCCCACAGAGTCTCCTGCAGAACAGGAAACAAATCAGGGCTGTCACTTCCCCCATGTCCCTGGGGACTGTACTGGGCCTTTTGTGGGGTAAGGATGGAAACCAAACCAAAATGTGACCCAAAGCTGTCTGTCCTGGGATGAACACAGGACAGGGAACAGGGATGAACAGGGAGCTCTGACCTCCCTGTCTTGGCTCTTCCCAAAGTGCCATGAGCCTGTTCAGCCTGACTGCATCTCCTCCTTGCCCCATCCCAAGGGCAAGGGCTCAGTGGGATGCTTAGGCATGGGAGAGGTCCCCATATGCCACTTGTCATGGGCTGCAGTGGGATTTGCTGTGTGCGAGAGTATTTAAACAACTTCTCTCCCTGTCCCAGCCTCCCTGTCTGCAAGACTGAGTGGATTTTTCCCTTACTGAGCTTGGCTGTGAGGGTGGATGTGATGAGATTGCTCAGGGCTGTATTCACACTTCCTGCTGGCCGTGCTAGGCAGTCAGCCTGGGAGATCCAGGACATGGGGAACACAGTGCTGGGTAGAAACCTGCCTCCCTACCTAGCCAGCAGCTTCAGCTTGGGCTGTTTTCCATGACAACCTTCTGAAAAATGTTTTTCTTTAGAAGAAAGAGGTTGCCTTTCCCCCTCTTTTTCAGAAGGGAAAGAATTTCCTTTAAAAGCAAAAGCAAGAAACAGAAAATTGGAAAATTTTTCATAAAGTTTAGCTTTTGTCAAGACCGCATTTTCCTTTGAGAAGTGAAGAGAGGAAACAAGGGAGAAGCCTCTAACTCATGTCAGGTACCTGTGTGCATGAGCATGATTTGTGTGCTCTTTGCTTTTGCTTCCTTCTTCTCTCGCCACGTTCCCTCTGACAGAATATCCCTTCCAGGGCCTTCTGCTTCGAATGTTCTTAAAATTGATTTCTCTGTAGCACTGCCTATTGGCTCATTGTACTCCAAGCTCTGTCTCACTCAGCTGAAGATCTCTGAACCTCTGTGTGGACTCCTGCAATCCCAGGACCGCTTGTACGGCCGGTGATGCCGACAGGGATGAGCTGATCCTGCTCCTTCTGGCTGTGCCTCCCTCGACACAAATCTTCATTTACTGAGGGATTTTCTTGGCTTCTCTCTCATGATTCCTGGCTCTCCCGTTCATATCCGAAGCGGTGGTTTAGCAGAACTTGTTTTGACAAAAGCAAAAGGATATTCACAGCCAATTAAAAATATGGTAATGGAAAGATGGGGAAGAAACGTGGTGCTTCCTCTGCTTGAGGGGGGCGTTGGGAGCTGTCACTGTGCTTAGGGGGATTAGCAGTGCGTGCTGCAGGTCCGTGTCAGATTGAATGCTAAGCTCCCAGGCTACAACCATGCTCCTGGGAGCAGGGAAAAAAATCATTCATTACTGTGGGGATGGAAGGATTAGTTCAGTAATTTGCTCATTGTCTTGTGCTCTCTCTCATGCTGGCACACAGACACATGTATTCACAACACTCACTTTATTAGTGTCTCATGCTGCAGATGATGGAAATTTAGAGTTGTTGGGGTAACTTTTCCTGCCTGAGATGCCTTGTGGTGAGAAAGACAGGCCCAGGTGAGGCAGGCCAGAGGTACTGGAAGATTTGGACTTGCATCTCCCCTCCCCTCTTAAGACCTGTACTTTTATGTGGGTTTCTCTCTGGGCTGTGATGGGGGTGATGGGTATCTTGAATTGCTCATCATCCTCTTCCTCCTTGGGTGCCTAAGGCTGTGTGAGCATCCCAGGCAGGCAGTGTGAGGGCAGATCAGAGTTTGTGGCTCTGTTCACTGCCTCTGAAGAGCTCTACATGCAATTCCTCCTGTGGGGTGGGGGTAGGTGGTGGCTGAAGCCATGTAAATCCATAAAGGAGTAAAAATGGGTGTGTTGGAAGTCTCTTGCACAGTTTGCCTTCAGCTGTGAGCAGGGTGTGCCAGGGCTGCCACGAGTCTGTGTCCTGGGTTTCTGCAGTGCATCAGCAGGCACAGCTGACAAGTGACAGATCACCTTTGAGGTGACACCTCAGGCTGTTTTCAGAGATGTCATTCAGCAGAAAGTGAGCATATGGAATAGAATATGTGGCAAGAAACTGGAGCCACATCCATCCTCTTGCTCCAGGAGTGCTGTAGAGGCAGATAGGCTCTCTGATCTCTGCCTTTTTCCCTCTGCTGCCTTTGTGCTCCTCATCTGCTGCTATTTTGTCACCCCTTTTGGTTTCTCTCTTACCTCTCCTCAAGGGGTAGAAGTCCCTGGATTTAGCTGGAGTTGCCAGTCCCATGGCAGGTATCCCGCTCGATGGACATGATGAAAACAGTTCAAAGGGGTCTGGCAGTCATTGTGGTCCCACTTCCATCTTTGATCTGCCTTCTGAGAAGCCTTATTCTCCTGATTCCACCCCCACATTGTGACTGGGAAAATGTGAGGGGAGAATATGCCTTAATCCCTGTTTGTGAGGTCCTGGCATCTCCTCTAAGACAAGCTGCTCCCCCAGGAGCAAAATCTGTGCAGGTTGATGTGCAGAACAGTAAGGGCTGAGCTGCTTTCTGGCAGGCAGCTGGAGCAGCCTGTAAAGGGTTACCTCAGACAGCCAGAAAAGCCAGACTCTACAGCACGGCTGTGTTTTTTTAACAGGCAGCCCAGACTTGTAATATCAGCACTTACTGAATTAATTTACTGTGTAGCACCAGTAAAGCTCTAAGTTCTTTCAGTGAATTCTAGTTTTGAGAAAAATCAAGAAAGCAATTACTTGGTTTGGTCATTAATTACTCACTACTGGACATTTTCAAAGGCGTCGCATGAAAAACCTGAGGCAGCCATTAAGAGCAGCCCTAATGCTATTGATCTATTTGTGCTTATCGTGGAACTTCTCTGCTTTTATGATGTTTTATTGAGCTGGGGGATGCAGGTGTGTGCAGCCAGGCAGTGTGAGCTGCTGTTTCCCATGCTGGGGTTGCCCTCTCGGTGGGGAGTGGTGGCTTCTCAGAGCATTCCATAGGGGGAATCCCCTCAGGATGGTGGGCACTGGGAATTCTGAGCATTGCACACCCTGCACTGTGCTTGGCAGGAGGAGGATCCCTTTGTATGGCTGTGGTGTTAATAAGGTGAATCCACCATGGACAATTGGAGGCAAGCAAGGGGACTTGCCTGTGGACTTGCAGAGGGGCTGTCCAGATGTCCAGACAGAACCACAGAATCACTGAGGTTGGAAAAGTCCTCCAGGATCATTGGGTTCAACCTTTGATCCCCACCTTGTCACCAGCCTAAAGCACTGAGTGCTACCTCCAGGCATTCCTTGGACACCTGCAGGGATGGGGACTCCAAACTTCCCTGAGAAGCCCCTTCCAAGGCTTGACCACCATTTCCATGGAGAAATTCCTCCTGATGTCCAGCCTGAGCCTCCCCTGGCACAACTTGAGGCCATTTCTCCTTGTTCTGTCCCTGTTCCCTGGGAGCAGAGCCTGACCCCCACCCTGGCTGCACCCTCCTGGCAGGAATTTGTGGAGACCCCCTGGCATCCAGATCTGCTCTGTTCTTGAAAGGTCACCTCCGTCTTAAATCTCTTTCAATGGCACTTTCCCTTCCTGCAAAAACCTCCTTCCCTCCATTTATGCCTCTCTTCTTGTGGTTCAATATCACCATAGCCATTTACTGACACAAAGCCCTTGGAATTGGACATAATCTGCAGAAAAATGTTACCTACCAAGAAATTAGGGGCCAGGAGTGGCAGGCAGGGGTACATGCTGCTTTGCTTCCTTCCTCTACAGCCTCTGGGATAATCCTTTCCTATTCCCTCAAACCAGAACAGCCCAGCCTGGAATGCAGTGACACGGAGCTGAGATTAATCCTGCTGGCAAGTGAGAAAGGTGTAAGCCCACAGCAGTAGGGGAATTTTCTGGTGAGCTGGAAATGCAGCAGGGAGCAGTGACAGCTCCTGGAAAAGGGCAGGGTTGTCACTTGGCTTCCAGGGGTTTCTCAAGGTGGACCAGGGTATCCCAAGATTGGTGTTGGTTGAATCAGGATTTGTTCTGGCTTCATTCCCAGTAGTGAAAGGTGCAGTTTTCCCATGTGCAAACTGAGACAGAAAATGCCACTGTGCCATTATTCTATTTCCCCCCTGTTCCTTGAGGAACTGGAAAAAAAACAACACACATTTAACAGTGCCAAGGGGATGTGGCTGTTCTGCCTGTGCCTCCTGGCCTTTCTCCTTCTCCCATCACATTTGGCATGCAAAATTGAATCATACCCTTCTCACCCTCTTCCCACTGGGGAAAAGGTGGCCTTTAAATCATAATATGATTGCAGACAATGTTGCAGAAGGGGAAAATGAGATGAACTTTAAACTCCCCTTTGCTTTACAAATTTGTTCACGTCTTCCCTCACAGCTGCTTAGTCATGCCCATTAGACTTACCATTTTCTGGGAAGGAAAAAGGGAAGTGAATTTTATTATCTATTCAGCATCTGACTTGGTGCCTCTCTCCCCTCTTTTGTCTGGTTTAATCAGAAATTTGCAGAGGTTTTGATTGGGCTTCTTTGATCAGAGCACAGAATCCCCCAGGTAAGGGATCGTTAGTTCTCATTAGCAGAAGAAACATTTTTCCGTGACGCTGCACATCCTTGTCCAGCTAATTGAGGAGTCATCAGAGTGACTTTCCTGCCCCATTAGTTTTCATAGATACCTCAGATGCCTCCAACAACTGACCAGGTTGAAAAGGAGGGGGCTGGAAAACAACCCACAGAAAGGACCAGGCGTTGAATTAATTAGGAGCTGCTAGAAGAAACACTTTACATCTTTCTGTGCAACTTTTCAGTGCTACTGGATGGAATTAAGAAAATGAAATTAAGAGCTTGGCAAGTTTTATCAGGAGGCTGGGTTGGTGTTTGCATATCAAAAGTAGCCAGAATTTTTGGAACAGTAACACACATTTTGAAAAGGATTTTGGTCTTTGTGTTTGAAGAGTTGAATCAGTTTTGGGCTATTAAAAACTGCAGAAGGAGCCCTGATTTGCATATGTGCTGTCGGTAGGAATCTTATCCTTCAGCCTGGCACATCCCCAAATTGGACACTGGACAAGATGTCCACGTGCCTGCTCCTGCCTGTCAGTTCCCCAGGTCCTGCCTTTGCGGTGGCAGGGTGGAGGCAATGGGAAGGAACGGGAGATCATCAGTGGGAAGCAGGAACATCTCTGCAGTGGGCTGGCAGCCAGCAGGGCTGCACCAGCCACGGGGCTGGATCCCAGCCCTGGCACTCCTGCTGCCCTCAGCTCATGGCACTGCTACAGCAGAGCTCAGGGCTGGAAAATCCGCACCACTCTGAAATGGGACAGTGCTGCGTCTTGGGGTGGGTCCGTGGGGAGTGCTGGAATAGGCAGGGCTGCTTCCTGAAGTGTGGAAGGTGAGAGAAGAGCCTGACACCTGAGGGCTCCTGCCCTGCCGGGTGGTGTCAGGTGTGGGACCCACCCATTCACAGCACAGATAAGAGATCTGTGTGGGGCAGGAGGCTTTTCCTTCTTTACGTATTTCCTCTTTGCAGCAGAAGTTTCTGGATGCTGGAACAGATAAGCAGGAGATGCAATTAGTTTTGTCCGGCTGGAAACCATTCCTGAGGTGCTGGGTACCTACGTACAAGACGTGGTCCCTCAGATGTAACTGGTTTTCCATGGAGGGCATTTTTCCAGGAGCTTGTTGGATAGGACAGGGAGAAGCATCAGGCCTTAAAACCAAGAGGTGACCTCAGCAGTGGGCCCCCTACCATGTGTTTTGTCCCAGACCCTGTTCCAGTCAACAC